TTTCCTATTTAGCACCCAAACTCTGGAATAATCTACCTAACATTGTTCGGGAGGCAGACACACTCTGTCATAGGGCTGGGTGACATAGCTAAAAAATATATCAACAATGTGTTTCATATCGTTCCGTATTCCGTACATTTTTTATAACCTTTTTTAAAACAGAGCAATAGAAAAAAAAGTTTACAAAATTGCAATATTGTTTAAATTGTTTCTGAAATCTCAGTACAGTTATATCAAGGTAGATTTGAGTGATGCTCCCCTTTCTACAGCATAAAGGCCTTATAAATTATAATTAGACTGAAGCAATTCATCTACACTTTGACTGTATATATACAAGCCTAGCAACCTGGTGGTCATTACTGTGTTTCACTCGCTGAGTGAAACTAAATGTGTAATACTGTACGTCAGTATCCATGTGTGAGGCACACATAAATGCATATATGCTTAAACCGGCTTTAACTTACAGTAAACCTGTTTTTTTTTTATTCTTTAAACAGAACAGCTTGTAACACTCCAAAGAGAAAGGAAAACTTGAAATCGCATCATATGACCCCTTTAAGGAAACTTTTTACTTGTTTCCCGAGGCCACAGGAGGGCGCAATGAGCAAAATAATGAAGCGCATTAAACTGTCAATTCAATTAACTGTCTATAAAAAACATGCATAACGTCTAAATGAACATATATAAATCAAATATAATTTTGTAAACTGCATAAACAATTATGAACAAAACAGCATCATATGCATTGCTTAGCCTAATACAAAGAGCCAAATCGCTGATCACACAGATTGCATTTAAAAACATGAGACGCAGTGAAATGAAATAAACCTTCAAGTGCAGCAGTCATTTTTGTCCGTCTAAAAATGTGCTGAATATGCGTTCTGTGTGAATGGCGTGGTTTCGGTTTTAACCCATTCAAGATCTTCTTGAGCTACTATATCTCTCTAATATTTTGAACAAATAACACATCAGCGGCGCATCTCTTGGGCTAGACCAGGGGTAGGCAAGTTCGGTCCTAGAGAGCCGCAGCCCTGCAGAGTTCAGCACCGATGGAGTCTTGGTTCCTTGCCGCTGTCGCCTCTGGCTTGCTTAGTTGGGGACACTTAATCTCCAGTGATATCGTCGACATGATTGCACAGATACTATTTAAATTGAACTGAGCTGGATGATGACATCACTGAATTCAATGATGAACTGCCTTTAACTGAAAATTGAGTGTTTACTATTGTCATTTTGCATTAATGACACTATTTTCCTAATTAATGCTGTACAGTTGCTTTGACACAATCTGTATTGTTAAAAGCGCTATATAAATAAAGGTGACTTGACTTGACATTCACTCCCTGAATGTATGCATCTTTCCCAGTATACCTCACTACATGTATATTTTTCTGTTAGTCTATTTTCACATATGTGATTGTGCAGGGCTCATGATGACCAACACTTGGAGTAACCCTGTTGAACTCTGATAACCTTGATCCAGCTATTTTTTTTTTTGCCAATAAACCTCCTTTTATCCTTTTTATATAATTTTGTACTTATTGTGATTTTTTTTGAATTGAATGCAACCTAGGGTAATTAATACAATATATACACACATCCTGGACTGTATACAACAATTAAATGATATATATAATATTAAGATCTAGTAAATCTTAAATTGATATTCAGTTAATTGTACATTACATATTTTAAATTAACTTCATTACAAAAAAAAATATTTACTGCAGCTGCCTGACATCTTACGCGCATACCTCCACATGCATGTTTTTAGACCTCTACATTGTTTTCCAATTTGTTTTCACTTACCATTTTGCTGCAGCAGCATAATGGCCATCCTTTTCAAGCACTGCAGCCCAGCTCATGTAGAGATCTTTCAGCACAGGGTCCTCCGGCTGGAGTCTGGCTCTTGCTAAAGCTATGGCCTCCCTGAGGATTTAATGTAAACACAAACATTACCTTCTGCTCAGGCCAAACACCACTGACGTAACACACAATTGCCTATTGTGATGTTTCTAACCGGTAGAACTGGTGGCTCTTCAGAAGGTTGATGGCCTCATAGAGTTTATGGATGGAGACGAGATGTGATGCTGCTTTGAGGAACTGCTCGTGGTGGCAGAGCTGCTTCACATATGCCTCTACAGTCCTGGCCCACACTTGATAGCCAGCTGAGAGAGGGTCAATGTCAAATAGGGATGTCCAGAAAAATAAAAAGGAGAAATCTTTAAATGCATGTGCCAAATTTATAGAACCTATAGACCTTTGCGTTTATGCTTGTGTGATTTTTTGAAAAATATTTATACCTAATTTTAACCAAAAGTTTGAAGTTTTAATGGCTTGAAAATGTAAAGTGGTGTAACCATATATAAAGCATAAAATCTAAAGTAGTAATTATTAATGACATCTTTGAAAATGTGTGTACAAACCATTATGTGTGTGTAATTCAATAACAAAAACAAAAGTAAAAGTAAAAAATCATGAATTTTCTTGGGGTCATTCCACTTGACATTTGAAAACTTGTACAAACCTTGCAATATGTCAAAAAAAAAAAAATTACATATCACATGAAAACAACATGTTTGTTACACCACAATTGCTGGTAACCATTTTTTAATTTTTAATAAAAGTTTGTGACGTATTGTTCAAGAAATTAAGTCTGTTTAGACTTTTTTCTGTATTATTAAACTTTTTTACTTTTTTGACATTTCTGACATTGAACGTAAAGGGGTCATTTATATTGACCCATTAATATAAAAATATATATGAATAATTATATTTTTATTTATTTACATTTACTTTGTTTTTATAATTATAGATATTTTTTTACTTTACAGATAAAGTAAAACTTTGTTCAACAGCCATAATACTGCCAGATGTCTTACCCATTGGAGCTAAACTGAGGAGATGGTCAGTCAGTTCTCCTTTCTCTGCAGCAAGATTTATTGCTCCAATCAGATCTCCTTTCCACAGCCTCAGATACACCATTGAGTCATAATGACCAGCCTCCACGTGGCTCTCCTCTGTTCAAAACACCACATCAGTGACTCCATGATTCACCTCATATCTTCAGCATACTAGCAGATACTGACACTACCCTACACTGGGTTCAGCTGTTTCTGTGCCTGACTCACCTTCCTCCTGAAACATCCTGTAGAGGGCATCCCTGTCTGTGAACAGGCCAAGCTGAATATGATCTGCAGATCCTGGAACACATGCTCCGCTTTGCCCTGAGAACCAGAAGGGAAAGGAAATACGCTATGTACATTGTAACTACTTGTTTCTTCTCATTCTGTCAGAGCGTGGCTTTCTCTTTTTTAAAGACAGATCTAAAATTTAATGAAAAAAGTAAACGATATACCATAGCAGCCTTTCCAATGTTTTTGATTTCAATGTCAATGACACGTAACATCATACATATTTTTTTTCTATTAATGTATTTATTTAAACTTATTTAACATTAATTGATAAATTAAATTAACTAATAAATTATTAATTAACTAATATTATTGTTAATAACATAATACTAATTATTATTATTATATACAATAATAATTACAATACTAACCGACCATTACAGTTGCCAAGCAATGTATCAACAAGCCGCAAATATTATAGAATATGTGGTCACAAATGCATTTATTTAGCTGCATTTTACAATCAATTCAGAATCTGAACAATCCATTTCATAATCAGTTTTTCTGCATGATGCACGCTTAAAAAAAAAAAAAAAAGTAAGAGTAAGTTGCAAGATAATGAGAAAAATATCTTGACTACACACAGACAAAGCAGAGACTGACCTGGTTTCTCTCTTTTCTTTTCCTCTTTGACCTCCCTTTTAACTGCATGACTGAACTTTTCTCCATTCTGAACCCTCTCAGTGCCACGTGTGTCCACACTGCTCTCTCTGGACCAGCCTGTGACCCCAATGATAAAGGTTATTCATCAGACGACACCCAGACAACCGGAGTGACATTTCAAAGACTGCGCTGGAAGCACAAAAGCAAGAGGAAGCGGAAGAGACAGCGAATGATGAAAGCAGGAAAGATGGGCCGTTACCCGTGACGGATGGACCGTCTGTGTTCTCCCTCTCCTCTTCCTCCTCGTCATTGTCTGATTGGCCCTCTTCTGCTCCACTGCCTGCTGCTCCTTTAATTTCTTCACCTAAAGGCAATTCCCTTTCTTCTGCCTTCATCCCTCCTTTTTCTGGTGCCTTCTTTTTCTTCTTGGACTTTTTCTGCGGTCCTCTCTTTTTCCCCATCTCAACACGTTTCTTAGCTGTTGATGAAAACATTAAAGGTATGTGTACAGTTAATGATTAAAATGATTTATATATCATTTATATATTTTAGAGCTTTTAGCTCTATTTCTTAAAAACATGAAAAAAAAGCAAATTACAAACAACATGACAAATACAATAGAACAAGAATATAAAGCTCTTTTAGAAATTTTTTTTTTTTTTTTTTGAAGGAAATTAATACTTTTATACAGCAAGGACACATTAAACTGATCAAAAGAGACAGTAAAAACATTGAAAATGTTACAAAAGATTTTATTTTTAAGGTTTGCTTTTTTGTAATGGCTGCTGAAACTTCAGCATTGTCACCACAGGAACCATTTACATTTTAAAACTGAAAAAGTTATTTTAAATTGTAATAATATTTTACAATATTGCATTTTACAAGAAATGGAGATTGGAAAGCTTAAGAAACTTAACATAACATTAAAAAAAAAAAAAAGACGTCAAACCTTTCTCTTTGGAGTGTTACAAGCTGTTCGTGAATAGATAAGATCCCTAAAGTTGCAAAGACTAAAGTCTCAATAATCCAAAGTGATATTCTTTATAAAAGTTAAAACTGGTCCATGCCCTCCTAAAATGCCTCGTTCAAACACGCCCCCACATGTCTAC